TCAAAAATAAAGAATTATAAAAAAAAAAGAAATGGGATGCACCCAGACATCTTCTATTGGATCTTCCTTTAAACAAATAGAGGAGAACACGTTAATACTTAAATGCAACTGAAGTGGTTTGGAAGCCAACCAGCAAACAAAAATGATATAGCATTAAAATTAATATTTCAAGGTTGTCACATGCCAGTGCGATAGGTAAACGTTGAAAGAAAAAAATTTGAATTCATTATATTTTAACTGCATTTGTCGAGATGTTAATAATCACTCTCTAGAGTCTTTCACACCGGTAATTCACTGATTGGTCTTTTTCTATATTTCCAGGTTTCTTCTGTTCAGCAGGAGGTGTTAGAGAACCATGCCCAGGCACAAGCTTCTGCTTTGGATAGCTTTGGGACAATGAACAGTTCCTTGACAATAGCATCAATAGAAATGCAGGTATTTTATCATACGTGCCAACTACCTGACGTAGTCCTACAGACATTATATATCCTGCCAGCCAAAGCAAGGATAGCTGGATTCTGAATATACACTAGAACAAACATGGTGTTTATGGTTAGGAGACAGAAATGTAAAACTAGGATCCAATGTGACAGCTATTTATCAAACTGGAACATTTAAAAAAAACAAAAAACCATGAACTAAACCGTGCTTTTTGCTTTGGATACATTTGGAGCAATACATTTGTTTCAAAAATGTGACAGTTTTTGTTCCCTATATATGAGCCAAAGTGTCTAAATACCAACAGAATAAACTCCTACTCTACAAAAAAATATTTATAGTACTCAGTAAATCAGTTTGGACGGTGGCATTCATCATTTAAATAAAATGTCAAGGATACTGGAACAGATACTCATTTGCCAAGAACAGGATGTCTAACATCTTTAGAGAATGAATGGTTTGTAAAACATAAACTGAACGGTAAAAACTACAGACATTTTAATTAATACAGTGAATACACAACTACCATTCCATATTAAGTGATACTGATCTAGAATTCATTGCAACATGGAGAGTCTTTAATATTCACAATTAAAAGTAAGAAGCTGACAAACCATTTGTTTGGTGATAGCAGGGTACCATAATATCATGGATAAATTAATCGTTTGATATTGATGGATACTGCTAGCCCATGATATTTCTTAGAGAAAAGGTTGAATGGATACTGCTAGCCCATGATATTTCTTAGAGAAAAGATTGAATTTAATGCACAGAAAAGAATTGTTGTAGTACGATATTTCAATCAATATACTTGTTCTAAAATTAATACATATCTAAACTAGATGGGATACTGTATAAGCACCTTGACATGAAGGTAAAAGCATGGGGAAAGAAAGCCTCCTACTAAGTAAGATGCTGCAGATTTAGGAGCATCCACCATGATGGGGTCAAGTTATAGACCACATGAATGCATAGACTTCAACAGGGAAGCAACATTTCCCCTAAACTAAACATTTTCTATAAAATATATATTCCTTGTTTCCAAAGAAAAAGCAATCTATATATATTTATATTTATCCTTCAGATGGGTTTTCATCATTTGTTAGTTGTATATTTGTATCAAAACTGTACACTCTCTAAATAGTCAATAATGTTATTCAGACATGTATCTGTATTTTGCATACAGTTTGTATTTAATATGTTAAAACTTAATACATTCACAAATGCAGGTACATTCAACATTTCTTGTGATATACATGCCTTTCTGAGTAGGGTATAAGATCAAAAATAAATGATTTGCTTTTTTAAAAAACATTTTTTTTTATTAATTATATTGGTCGGGCATATAGGATAAAGCTCTTGATTCGTATCGGTTTCTCTACAATAAGTGTGTCTACAATGAGAATTCCAGAAACAACATTGTCTGTTAAAATGTCTTTATTTTAGAAAACATTGGTGAATATGTCCTTGGAAAACTGCAGCATTCGGGACAAAGTAAAGAATTTACAAGATTCTTACGATGAGTCCTTAAATAAACTGAAAGAAAAACAGAAGATGTTAGAAGAAGCTCAGGCTGAAAACCAGGCACTTAAAGTTAAGGTAAACCATTTCTGAGAATACTCTCTGCATAATGGCCTTGATCATGGTTTATCATTTAATACTAATATATATGTTAATGGCTGCTGATGGGCTGTTAAAGGAACACTGTAGCATTAGGTATGCAAATGTATATTCCTAATGCTATAGCGTCCTAGTCACCATTTAGGTGATCGGATCCCTCCCCCTATGAGGGTTAAAAGTTAAGCCCTTTACAGTTTACTTATCTTGTTTCCCACCCTGCACTCCTCTGTCTACAGCTGGCCCTGCTTTCATGGCTAAGATCAGCAAGATCGATGATCTCAGCCAATCCAATAGCAGAGTTTGACTCTGCTATTTTACTGAAGCACTTTTAGTGGCTGTAATCCTGACAGCCACTAGAGGTAGGTTAACCTGCAAAGAAAACATTGATGTTGCTGCAGAACGGCAAGTTTTCAGCTGCAAGGTTACAAGAGGGGCACCTGGCACCCAGACCACCTACTTTAAATATATATGCCTATAGTGTTCCTTTAATGATGTTGATGAGATCATTGACACCTATACAATATTTTTCACTCTTGGAATATTCAATCTGGAAAAAAAGGCCCTGTAACTTGAGTAATCACAATCTCTCCGAATACGATTTATCAGAACAGAAGCCATTCTTTAAACATGTTTAAGCAAATAATAGATGAA